GCCTGCCCGACTGTCCACCCTTGGGTTGGTTCAAGAGCTGAGGGTGAATCCAGCCCAGGTCCCACCCTGGAGACCTGAGGGTCTGCAGGAGAGGGTTTGGACTGGGGGAGGGAGCAGTGAGATCCTGGGGAAGTGGGGAGGGGATCTGGGGAGGAGACTACAGTCCAGGGCAGGGGAAGAGATCACTGGGCCACATTTTCCTCCTTTTGTGGCTCAACACAAACATGGTGACAATAGTCATTCACTGGGCAGAGTTTGTCCCCTGAACAATCCTCTAGTACTTTGAGGGACAGATCTGAGGGGCATGGAAGGGGAGCTAACCACTGGTGCTGGGGGGTGGGCACCTCAGGGTCTGCAAGGTGGGGCAGCCTGGGCTATGGCAGTTCAGGGAGGGACGTCATGAGAGATGGAGAGGGGGGTTAAAGAGGCATCCAGGTAGGCCTAGAAGGTAGAGCTGAGGGTGTGGGAGCGGAGGAGAGTTGAGGTGCTGAGTGGGGAGAGGGGTTTTTAAAGGCCAGAGGTGAAGGAGAAGGTGGAGGGGCTGGAAAGGTAAGTGAGAGGCCCTATCCCCTCCCATAGCACTGTGCCCACCTTCTGAGGTGGAAGGATGGCTAGCAGACTTACCCCTTCACCAAGGCAGGCCGTGCTGGTTCACTCAGCTGCAGGCAGCAGCCCCTTCCTCCCCTCCTCCCCTTTGTACCCCTCATCCCCTGGGACTCCCCTTGGCCCAAGGCTGGGTGTGGAAGCCCTAGTACCGCCTGTATGGGCCCAGCCCTGGGCTCCCAGTGGCTTCCAGGCACTCCGATGGCCTGCTGGGCTCCTCTAGCTGAGGGAGGCCTGGGCGCCATCCCCTCCCCATTCCTTATACAAAAGGCTGTGGGGAGGTTGGTCTTACCCAACCCCCCACCCCGCCCCCTTTGACTCCAAGCTGATGCCTCCCAGGCCCTCCTTACCACCTCAGCCCCCAGGGCTCTTTCTTTGTGGCATCACAGCAGAGCTGGAGCCAAGGCCTGGCTGAGGAAGAACCTGGCCTGACCACCCCGAGTAGTCTCCCCATCCACTCCTGCCCTCACGCCCTCCTGGGGCCCTAGCACTCCTGGCTTTGTCCTGGAGCCCCTTCCAACCTGCAGGCAGACAGGGCGCCACTCCTCACTCTCCCTCCCTCGAGCCCCCACAACCCCCACAACGCCCACAACCCCCACAACACCGCCACTGAGCTGTGGAGCAGAATGATTTCCCGTAATTGGCCAGCAATCCGGCTGACTGACTTGTTCTATCGACATGCTGGTTAGCTGAAAATTGTATTGGAATCTGAACGACTGGGAGGAGAGGGTGCGAGCAGTGAGAGGAGGCTCCTGGGCCACAGCTGGGTGCAGCCTTAGCCCCCCCACCTTCCCCGCGGGTGGCACAGAGGAGCCACCAACCACATCTCCCCTTTTAGGGAAGCAACCCACAGGGCCTCATTACCTCCTTCATTTTGCTCCTTCTCTCCAGCCATCTCTGGGTATCTCCCCTGCCCCCCTTTATGCCCCCACTGCCCAGGGTCGTCACTGCTACCCCATTCCCTCTCCTGCCCTGGGACTGTTTTCTTCTGACCTAAAGTGCTTTTATGAGAACTGGGGATGCTCAGCAGACATGGTTTACCCTCCACTCACCCCATTTCTAGCCATGGAGTGTCCCAACCATTCCCCTGCCTCACCTCCCTCCCCAAGAGGAGAGAGAGACTGAACATCTGAAGAGTTGACAATAATTCCTAGATAAAGAACTAAGGTGTACTTAATGGGGATGGTGCAGGTAATGGGATGAGCACTGTGCTGGGAGTCCAGAAGTTTGGAGATTATACTGGTTTGTAACTTTGGCCACATGACTCAACCTCTGAGCCTGTTTCCTCCTGGGTAAAAAATCCTGACCGGCCTGCTTCGCAGAGCTGGGAGACACGGTGGGTGTGAATGTGCTTTGTAAACCGTAAAGCTCTGCGAGTTACCCTAGGGCCAATCCGAGCCCCCCGGGGTGGTGATGGTTTTAGGGGCCTCTCTGTCCGTCTCTTCCCCAGCCAAGAGGCCCGGGCGTCTTCAGGCCTCGCTGGTGTCTCTTCGCTCCGCGCTGGTCTGGTAAGCCCCAAAGTAGGGGAATGGAGCCCAGGGTCCTGTAAGCGTCGCCCTCGCGGGGAGTGGGAATGGAAACATCCTCCGCCCGCGGTGCCAGCTGAGCGCGCAGGGCGCCCGGGCCCCGCAGCTCCGACTTAAGAGGACGCGAGCGGGCGACACAGCTTCTTAATTAGCGCCCGGGGCAAAGCAGAGCGCCCGCGCCTCTGCCGCCCCCGACCCCGCCCCGCGCGGCTCCGCGCCCCGGGGCTCGCGCTCCTGCCGAGCAGCTCGGCCGGGGATCTGAGGCCGTCCGCGGTCCCCGAGGGGAGGCGGGAAAACGACCGGGAGAAAGTAACTGCTCCGCTGCCACCCGCCACCGAACCCACACCCAACCTGGGTGGGTGCTGCCACCTGCCGTCCGGAGGGGAGGCCGCCCGCTCGGGCGCTGGACGGCAGCTCTGGTGACCTGGCCCCTGGTGTGTTCTGGGCCGCAAGGGCAGATTATCCAATAAGCAAGGCAAGCACGGTGCTTACCTTGCTTACCAGATCATCTGTAGTGAACAATTTCACATTTTTTTCATATCAAAGATTCTGCTTCTAGGTATGGCCGACATCTGTCTCTCCGAACACCACAGCATCTTCCTACAGAATCAAAGCCTTTTCTGAAATTTACAATCCCTGACAGGGGCGGATTACCCAATAGACAACATAAGCATGGGCTTACTTGTGCTTATTTAGTGATCTGTAGTGAAACTGTGCACTACAGAGCAGTAAATAAGCACAAGTAAACCCGTGCTTACCTTGCTGAGTAATCCGTCCCTGGTCCTGGGCTCCCACACATGGCCTAAACATGGAAGTCACATCCAGGGTAGGTAGTGCTTGATTTAAGGCGACCGAAAGGGAGCCCAGGAGGAGGGAGGCCTGAGGAGAGGGAGAGTGGGACCAGGGCAAAGGCAGGACAGAAACTGAGTTCTCGTCACACCTTGCAGCCTGGCCGCCCTCTGATAGCATTGCACTAACCTCAGCAGCCTGGGCTAGGGAAGAAAAAAATTCTTTCAAAGTTTACAGTTTGCAAAGGGTTTTCCATCCTCCGTTTATTAGGCCCTATGATGTAAGCTTTATGAAGCCCAGTTTACAGAAGAAACTGAAGCCAGGTCACACAGCAAGTAGGTGACAGAGCCTGGACCCACTCCCAGGTCTCCTGCTCTGAGGCTTGGGGGCACATGGCAGAATTCTGAAGTCTGGCTCTGTGACCAGAATCAAATCTCTCTGGACTGTTCTCTGTGAATTGGAATAATTGATGTTGTCTTACCTATAGGGTGTCACACGTCCAGCACAGAGCCCAGCATCCACAGGCATTCATTAGTCATTTTCTCAATCACTGGGGTAACAGTGTGGGAGGGGTCTATCCCTTTCCTCTCCTTTGCCTCCCTCCTGCCAGGTCCCACCAAACCAAGGAAGCAGCAGGCTGTTCTCATCCCGCCTGGTTGACCCTGGCCCCCCACCTGGAAGCTCCCCACCTCCTCATCCAGCCATTCTTTGCCCTTTAGGGGTTTGCAGTGAGTTAATGAGCTGGCCTCTGAGGAATGGGCAGCTCTGGGAAAGGGGGCACTGAATACGGCCACTACAGCGTTCACATTTGTCATGCTCATTTCTGGCCTTAATAGGCTGTTGGCCACAGGATCAACACATTAGCAGGCCTGCCGGCTCTGGCCGGGAAAGGCTGATGTCTACACTGGTCTAATTGGGATGGGGAAGGAAGATGGAGCAGTGGGGTGGGTGGGGTTGTGATGCTGCCCCGGCACATTCATCCACCTCCCACATACATACATCTGGACGTGGCTGGAATCCTCCTGGGCTGAGAGAGGTCAGGGGGGCTACTGTGCCTTCTGGAGCCTAGGAAGTGAGGCCCCCAGGCCCAGTGTGGGAAGAGCCAAAAAAAAAAAAAAAAAAAAAAAAAACGAAAACAAACCACTGCCATTTAGTTGGTTGCCGTCGAGTCGATTCCGACTCTTAGCGACCCTATAGGACAGAGTAGAACTGCCCCATAGCGTTTCCAAGGAGGGCTAGTGGATTCGAACTGCTGGCCTTTTGGTTAGCAGTCAAGCCTTAACCGCTGCACCATGAGGGCTCCAGGAAGAGGCCAAGTAACTCCAAATGGTATCAGTCAAATTGGAGAACCTTGTTTGGTCCATGGTCCTCAGTAACGAAGGCAGTGCAGGGTGTTTCAGATTAACACTTTATTAAGCACCAACAGGGAGCCAGGCTTCACACTAGGAACACAGAGATGAATAAGACACAGTCCCTGCCCTCAAAGGGCTTACAGTCTAGGATACCAACCAGCTTTTGGCTTATGACTATACTCTGGATTAAAACAAGGGGGCATGGTATCCTAGAGCACCTAACCCAGCCTGGGGCTTCAAAGTGTTTCAGCAGGGAGTTAGCCAGTTGTAGGAAAAAAAGACAGGCATTCCAGGTGGGGGAGCAGCACGGGCAAAGGCACAGAGGCGAGAACAGCCTAGCGCATGTGGCGTACCAAGGAAAGCATCTAGTGGGAGGCACGGGGTGGCGGAAGGCTGGGAGGTGGTGTGCAGGGTATGGGAGTGCTGGAGAGGTCCCATGGTAGGATGGTGGGGCGTCCTAGAAGTCGGACCCCTGCCCGGCTACAGCATTACCCACGAGAATCCTCTCTGCACTCTGTTTGAAGGTGGCAGCCCTTGGTCCAAAAGGATTCCCCATTGTCCACTACGGAGATGTTGGCCATGATGGGGGCAACTGCTTGGAGCAGGTTCAAGCCCAGGCAACACTTGGCCTCCTAGCTCTACACTGGTGAGGGCCACCAAAACAGTGCTCCCCACCCAGTTCACAAGACACCTGTAACAGATGGTGTCTGAGTGTTGCTGTCATGCAGCATCATGGATACTGATCTGTAGGTGGTGCCAGAGGGGAGAAGCCTTGGGGAAGGTAGGAAGGAATAGCGACTGGCAGCTGTTTCTCCACTTCCAACAGGATGCTCTCCAAAGAAAGGTCCACCCAGAGGAGGGCACAGCCCAGATTCAGATCGTGTGTGAGTATGTGTGTGTGTCTGTGTGAGTGTGTGTGTATGGTGTGAGGGGTTGGGGGAGAAACAGGATGCCTGACCTGTGACTTCCTGCCTTGGAGTACCCAGCTAGGGGGCAGGCAGGAGGTAGCGGGTGAGCAGGTAGAGGAGGCTGGCAATGCCAGCTAGGCCTGTGAGGACGCCAAGCCTCAGCGGCAGGTACTCTAGGGAGTGCTCCAGCTCGGCATGCAGGAGGACAACCTGGCGTTTGGTGATGCTCCACTCGCCTGAGTTGTCCAAAACGTGGCGGGCCATGCGTGCTTTATCCTTCAGGGGCAGCTGAGCTGAGATGCGGGCCTCTGCGTCCTGGCGGTTCAGCTTGTTCCGCTGCATCAGCCGCTTCAGCTGTGTGTCCCGGTCACTAAGTACAGGGTAAGAGGGCTGCTCAGGCACTGCAGGCCCAGCCTCCCTCCCCCAGCAAGGTACAGGGCTGGGACATCCCCATCTGGCCCAGCCTGGAACAGGGTCTGGGGGCTGGACCTTTCTTGGAATCCTGCCCTGCTCTAGGATACTCAGAGTTCCACCCCCAGGGAGAGGGGCTTGGAAGCTCACCATCTATACCCTCCTCACCCCACTCCTTGTGAGGCTGGTGGCTCTGTGGGCCACCTAAGTCCCTCAGTACAAGCAAAGGGTGGGGGGAAGGTTTGCAGCAGCTGTTTTCTGCTATCTGGGGTCTTTCTGCTTTGCCACTAGGCCTACATTTCCCCAGCTATAAGACAGGAGGATTTGATCACCTGAAATCAGCTACATCCTGGATCCCTGGATGGGTGACCTTTACTGAAAGGCCTGTGCCTGCAAGTTAAACATTCCCTGCAGTTCCCCTGGGGCTGGGCCTGCTGCATCAAAAATAGCTTCCACCACAAAGACCCCTCTCCTTCCCCGCCCCACCCCCACCCCCACCTGCACACACATCTAGAGCAAATAGTGTGCTGAGATACTGTGTTTGATGCCACTAATGAATGCAAGGGGCAAGCCCCAAGTTGCTTCAAAGAGGAGCAAGGACTTGGGAACTGAGAATTGGATCCCTCAGTCCTTAGGACAGGATAAGCACTGCATTAAGCTGAACAACACCCAGGTCTTCCAACTCCAAAGGAAATTCAGAGAAGACTTCTTTTACCCACCCTGATATTACCATCTGGGTCCTTCCTCCTCACTCCGGAAGGTCCCTCTCCTGCCTTTGGCTGCACAGGACCACCTGGCTTGGCTGGCTACGGTCAGTCCTCAGGAATGGGCTCCTCTCCACCACTCCTCTGGCTCTATGGGATTCCTAAGCCCCTCAATGGGAACGAGTGGGGGAAGGGTGGCAGCACTGTTTTCTGCCATCTGGGGCCTCTCTGCTTTGCCACTAGACCTGAGTTTCTCCAGTTACAAGGAGGGAGGATTTGATCACTGCAATTTGGTCCCCTCTTAGGGACCCTGGGAAGCAGACTAAGCAAAGCCAGACACGTGGGAGTGGCAGCCCACCCCTCCATGACAATGAACTGCAAGAGGCCACTGATTTCCTTTGGCACAGGGAACGGCATACTGTTGAGGTCATGGCACCAAAAATCCCTGCTTGGCTGAGAACAAGGACTATCTAAACTTAGTCAGGGGAACCACAAATGTGGCTGGGAAAATCTGGGTGAGAGACTGGAGATGGCTTGGGGCCCTGTGGGTGCACATCCTTTTGAGGGTGCAGCCGAGATGCAAAGGCCTCTGGGATGTGAAGGCAGCATCCTCCTTCAACCCTGGGTTGGGGCCCAGAAATAATCCTGTTATGGTTCACTTAAGACTTGCTACTATTTGTGGTAATGGGATTTTTCCCCAAACACCTATTCCACTATTGACAAGTGCCTCATGAAATGTGAATAATCACATTTTGGTATAATCACACTTTGGTAAATGCCCCATATTATTTCAGATGCACCAGGGATTGCTTGCCATTAAAAAGGACCCATGAGGGGAACCTTACTTTTGTAAAATGTAGGTTCCTTTAGCGAAAAGCAAATAATCATTCCCTTGTAGCTCTCTGGAATCTCTCAAGTCATATACCCATGTGTACTCAAAGAGGGGCAGCCCAGAACCCAGGATTCTGGCAAAGCCTCCTCTGGCTGGCAAGTGGGGCTGGAGCAGATCTCTTGGTGAGGAGGCAGAGGCTAAAAAGTCCCGCTCATCTGCCAGAAGCCACAGCTATCCCTGCTCTTAGCAAACAGAGCAACTGAACAGGAAAACGCAGGAAGAGAGGGTGGCAAGGGTGGGCATGAGGTCATCTGTGACTGCAAATGCCCTGCGTGTTCTTAAGTCTTATTATGGGCCTGTTCTGTTTCCCTACCTACACACTAAGAGCCTTCTTCTTTTTTTTTTTTAATCCCCAGGTACAAAGTTCCAATTGCATCAAGATTCTAAGGCAAAGAGGATTCCACGTCTTCAGGGAGCCCATTTGGCCTCAGTTGATAGTCTTCCACAAACAGGGAACAAAGAACCCAGAGAGGCTGCAAGTTTACATGGGGAGACACAGGCCAATGGGGGAGCTGAGAAGGATGCCTGAGACCCCACACCAGGCTCATGGGATTCATACTGGGCTTTAAGGACACCCCATGGTGGGGAGTTGGGAGGTGGGGGTGATCTCGGGGCATTGAGACAGTACTCCAGGCCCCACCTCCTGTGTGCTAGAAGCCTCCCACGCATTAGTCTCTTGAGAACCACCCTGCGCCCAAAATACTTGCAGAGCCAAGTGCCCACCTATGTGTCTGCTGCATTGTGGGTGGCGTCTAGGAAGTTTCTGGGAGGCAAAGACACTCTGCAGCCTCATCTACTCTCTCACCCCGCTGCAACTGTGACTCATGTTCTCCAACAGCTCGATCCTCCTCTGTTTGCCAAACCCGGATTCTGGTTTAGTTCATGTCCTGGGGGATTCTGAGAACAAAGCTCCTTCCTTAGCTGGGCTCTGACACGTCCCTCCATGCAACTTTTTGTTCGGGTACTGCCAATGGGTGAGCCTGGAAAAATTCCTTAACTCCCTCCTTCAGTTTTCTCTTCTGTAACGCAGAAGAATCAACCCCTGCCCTGACCACCTCCTGTTGAAAGGTAAAGTGAGTGAAGCAATAAATGTGCAAGTTGCTTTGGAAAGCTGAGAAGTGTTATAGGAGGGAAAAGGGATCCAGTGAATGTGAATAACAACTACATCTCACGTACTTTGGACATGTTGTCAGGAGGGACCAGTCCCTGGGGAAGGACATCATGCTTGGTAAAATAGAGGGTCAGTGAAAAAGAGGAAGACCCTCAACAAGATGGACTGACAGTGGCTGCAACAATGGGCTCAAGCATAACAATGATTCTGAGGATGGCGCAGGACCAGGCAGTGTTTCGTTCTGTTGTACATGGGGTTGCTATGAGTCAAAACAGACTCAACAGTACCTAACAGGAGGGCCAGGTATCTGGGCTGAACCGCTGCCAACGGCCAGCAGAGGGAGCCCTTCCCAAGCACTTACAGAAGCAGTGGTGGTACTGCATCACCAGTGCAGACAAAAGGGTCCACTTCCCACACCTACCCCCCAGACATACCTGGGTCGGGCAGGGAGGTCAGTTTCTATAGACTCTGGGCACTGCTGCCAAACCCCCTGTGCTTCCTCGCCACGTTCAGGGAAAAAGGTACTCCAAGGGCACTCCTTCCCAGCCTTAGTGCGGCTGGGCCAGGCCACGTACTCACCAGTACACTACCACTGTATGTCTCATGTACTTGAGCAGCTTCTTGGTCTCAAACAGCAGGGGGATATCCAGAATCACATAGCGGTATCCTGGGAACAGGCAAGAAAACCCACAAGTTCAATTCTGCAAGCACATACTGAAGATGACCAAGTGTGGGAACAGAAAGGAAGCCACCAACCCTAGGATGGAGGGCCCTCAGCAGTGGCAGAGACTTTCCAAGGACAGACACAACCTGAACGCTAGCCAGTTCCAATGCCATTCAGAACAGAATGCCACAGAAAATCATTTCTGGCTCGATGCTCAGGGAAGACTTGTAGGAAGGATGGCATTTGTACTGGCCTTGAAAAGGGGGATCCCAGCACGAGGGACAGACGAGCACAGGGAACAATGAGGCGTCTCCTGCTCGGGCTGAAGTGCAGGCCTCCTACACTGTGAGGCAAAAGTGACAAGGTGGTTGGGGTAGGTACAAAGGGGTTAGTTAGTTGGCCTTGATCCTGAACCCAAGGGAGTTGTGATTTCCGAGCAGGGAAATGACACAACCAGAGTTGCAGGAGACTGGGGAGAGTTTTCTGGAGTAATGACCCTTTCTGCCCTACTTCATCTTACCTTTGCTCAAAAAGACCAGAAGGATAAGTTCCTCCTCAAGAAACTAGTTTGAGCCTGACCCCCTGCTGGAGAAGTCTGGTATGGCTCTTTCAACAAACTCACCAGGGCAGCAGCCCCAAAATGAAAGAGGCTGCTTCTCAGTGTCAGAGGCAGACCTCCAACCAGGGACTGTGGGGACTGGGTCTAGAGGTGGCAGGGCTGGTTATAACTGATACTATATGACTCCCACGAGGCAAAAGGTGCTGGCTGAACTTCCCACTAACAAGCCAAGGCCAGTCAAAGGCAGCACCCTGACTACTGTGAGTGGGCATGTTCCCTGGGCTGCTTGCCCAGAAACACCCTCCCAGTTCTCTTTAGGCCAGCAATCCCTGTGTATGTGTGAAAAAGTTGGCAGGGATCCAGGGAGTACTGAGGGTAAAGGACAGGACGGCTTCTACCCAGAGACAAGCTGGCCTGGATGGGGCAGAGACTACACCCTGATGGTAACATGCCTGACTCCACACACTTTCAACCATAGAACCAGACACACACATACCAACTCCACGGGTGTCACAGGGAATGTGGTGCTCAAGGTGTTGCAGGGAACTGGGGAGGCAACCCCAGCTGCTGGGTTTCCTGGCCCCCAGGACCTGCTGCCAAGGAAGCCTAAGAGAACCCCTCAGCTGAATGAGGGGGTCAAGAGCACAGATTCTGATAACATAGGTTGGCTTATATACCCCCACCCGCCCATCATGTGACCTTAAGCTCCTTAAGGAATTCATCTGTGTGAGTAAAATAAAACTATCTACACCTCATGGGATGATAATAAGGATTAAATAAGGGAATGCACGCAAACCACCTTTCACATGCAAACCGCCCGGCACTCCCTCCTCCAGCCTTGCTAAGCGCTCCATAAACGATGGTTATTATGACCACTGTTCCCAGGAGAGAGGCCAGCAGTGCTGGATACCCTCTTATGCCCCCACCTCAGAGCACGAGCCAAGACCAGATCCTCTCTGGGCCTCTTATCTCCCTTTCCTGCCCCACTCCCGTCGCCTCCTTTCCTCTTGCTGGCCTTTCTCCTTGGCCCTCTCGGGAGCTCATGGCCAGCTCTTTGGTTCACCGGCAAAGGGCTATTCAGCTGTCACATCCCTCCTGCTTGATAAGCTCTGCAAACTATCCTGACTCTATTAAGACATCCGTCTGCCTACACAGAGACCTCCCCAACAGCTGGTGATCTTATCTGATGTTTGATTATACCAGCTTTGACAGTTGTATTTGTTTCACTCATCAGGGAAAAACTGGGACTGTGCAAGCCACAGCTGTCGTCCCCGTTTTTCACCTTATGGAGCTGAGAAGAGCTTTCTGGCTTTTATTTAAGTGGTGGTGGCGGGGGAGGCTGGGTGGATGACACAGTGGGAGAGCTCTGGAGTGGGTGACATTATCCTATGGTTAATTTCAGAAGGAGAGAGCCACTGTCAGAGCCCTGCAGATATACTTGTAACTGGCCTGGGACCAAATGCAAAAGGGCAGGAATGAAAAGCAGAAGGCTCCGCTCCTGGGCAAGGGATGGGAGATGTACTGGCACAGACAGGCAGCAGGACAAAGGCAGAAAGACCAGAGACTCTTCTCAGGGGGGAAGAGGGGCTGCAGGAAGGGCTATGGCAAGGTGCTGAGGGGGGAAGCAGGGCTGGTCCAGTAGGAAGGATGTCTGGAGCCAGTTCCAGCCTGCCAGAGCTTGGGGAAGTTGGGGGGCTCAATGTCATGGATGTGTGTCCAGTCACCATCTCCTTCTAGAGGGAGTGAGGGTGAGGGTGGGGAGGGTTCCTCACTCTGTACATGAGAAGTTGGGAGAAAAAGGGGTTTGACCATCACAGTGCAAAGGCCTGAAGAAAATTTAGAAGGCCCCCCTATGCCATCCAGGCAGGAAAGTCTCCATTGTGACCGACAGTGGGGAGAAAGACAGCCAAACCTGCAGCACCAAGGCCAACGTTGGAGGCCATGTATGCCAAAGGCTGGCAGCAGACTCACCCGGCCTCACGCCAGCCTCTTGCCTGATCCTGAGCCCTTCCTCTCTGCTCTCCCAATGTTCCTGGTGAATTGACCCCATCCTGGACAGGAAGTGTCAGCTCACTCCTGCCCAACACTGTCCTGTAGAACAGGGCTTGCACCATAGTATATGGCTTGGGAAAGGCTACACAGCTGCATGAGCAAGGTTCTTGTCAATGACCAAAGGCCCTTGCTTTTCAAACCCTCTCCCCTCCTTCTAGCTAGGCATACCTGCTGGCAGTCCTTGCACATGCCAGGCTGACTCTGACCACTGAGCCCTACCTCTGTATAATTGTCCCCCAATTAGAATTCCTCCACCACCTGCCCTGGCCATCCTGGTCCCTCCCCAACTTCCATTCCATTTACAAACTTACTTTCCCAGGTGGCTCAACCATTCCCCAGTCTGACTCTGACTGTGGTTTATATTTGTGTAGTGACTGACTATCCCTAGCATGGACTTTCAGTCCTCCCAACAGCTTTCCAAAGTCAGCATTCTTATCCTCACTACACAGTTGAGGAAACAGGCTGAGGGGCTGGATCGCCAGGACTTGAACTCAGGTCTAAGGACTCCATCACTCCTCAGCTATTATCACTCTCATCCCCACCAGAAAAATCAACTTACTTCCTAGGGATCAGGAATCAAAAGCCTCATGTGTCTCTTCTCATTAAATTGTCAACTTCCTTAAGAATTGGGGGACATGTACTTCTTTCTTCTGGGGATTGTGCCAATGAAAAGTGTGAATGGACCAGCCTGAAAAACCAGCTCCTCCACCCTGGCCCGGGAAGGAGCGGGCTTTGTCTCTGGCCCCTGGGTCTTACCCCGGAGAAAGTACTTGAAGGTCTCTTTCATCATTTCCTTGCGGATCTCAGGGTGGGTGATGGTGTTGAGCAGCCGCCGCAGGTCAGGCTGGTTAAAGATCAGGTCCCCCAGGACCTTGCGGTTGATATCACCATTCTCTAGCAAGACCTCAGTGCCAAAGGCCTCCACAATACGCCGGTGGGCGGGGTATCCTGGCTGGACCACTGCGGCACAGGGAGGAGGCTGAGTCACTCTCAGGAGCCTCCAGGCCAGCCAGAGGACCCCAAGTGACTTGATGTAAGATGATGGAAGAATTCAAGGGATGCTTCTTGCAGTTGGAAAAAAAAAAACAAAATGAGGGGAGGACTCCAGACTTCCTGGAGCCAAGGAGGCTGGATGAACCCGAAACTACTGCCCTGAGATAATCTTTACACCTTAAACCAAAAATATCCCCTGAAGTCTTCTTGAAACCAAACAATAGTTTAGCATAACTAGTAAAGAATATCCGCCTTGAGCACTGTGCTCTTTTAAGCTCTATCTATATGGGATCAAATTGACAACAGCAACTTGAAAGATTAGATAGTAAACCTACAGGGCAGTGAGTTGATGTTAATGGGGGAGGAACAACTTGGAAAAGGAGGGTGAGAATGGTTGCACAACTCGAAGAATGTAATCAATGTTAGCGAATTGTGTTTATGTAGAAACTGTTGAATTGGTGTATGTTTCGCTGTGTATATTCTCAACAACAACAAAATTAAAAAAAAAAAAAAAACTAGAACAAAAAAGAGGAGAGGGAAAGCAGTTAGGAAGAGAAGGCACAGACTCCTTATGTTGGTGATGGACAAGGTAAAGGAGGAGGACACTCCCAACGAGAGGGAAGAGTGAACAGAACAGAGAGGGGGAGGCAAGAAAGCCTTTGCCTCCTCTGACACCTTGAGGTAAGGAATTAAAAGGGTGAGGCATGGCAGAAAAGAGGGCACACAGGGGAGATGATGTGTACAATCCCCCAGACACCCCCTCCCCAACTCACCATGCCGGGCAATGACGTCCACATCAATCACTGCACAGCCCAGCTGCTGGAACACCTGGATCACTGAGCTCTTGCCCGAGGCAATACCCCCCGTCAGGCCCACCAGGAACATGTTGCCCAGGAAAGAGGGAGGTCAGAACCCTCAGAACCAGGAGCCAGGCAGTCACTGGAGAGTAACCACAGCTCAGCAGCTACTGGAGGAAGGACAAAAGGACCTGCTGGTCAGACAAGAACAGGCCTGATCAGTGTTGCGGCTGGGTGACTGGGGGAGCGGGAGGCAGAGGAAGGGAGGGGAGATACGGCCTGGCCGGGGAAAGTCAAGCCTGAGCTTGGGGAGCACTGGGTCCACCTGGAGACAGAGAACGCCTCCAGGAAAAGCCTCCAGTATTCTTTTAAAAACACTCCTAAAGAAGGCAAACTAACACAGTACAAATTTAGCAATCAAAATGCTGAGCAGACAAGAACCAGGTCAGGTGCTGTTAAGCAAAGAGTGCTTTCTGGAGGAGGCCGTTTGCCTGATCGGCAGAAAGGAGACACCCATCCCTCTGTGGGGAACCCAGTTCAAGTTCAGATGCCCCTGATGAAAAAGAACAATGCAATCACAGCCTCCACTCTTATCTGGGACACTGAGGCTCATGGGAAAGAAAGGGCCTACCGGCAACCACCCCAGTGGGTCGCAGGAGAGATTACAAACAGACCCCTGGGGTCTGGGCCCTCTTGCTCCAAGCCCCCTCTGCCCGCCCCACCCTGAGCACCAACCCCAGGGCCACATGGGTGGCTGGTCTAGACTGAGATGCCTAATCCCTCCGGCTCAACCAACAAGTGGCCTAGGTGGGGCTCAATGGCTTGGGCTTGGCAGCACTAAGCTTGAAGGTTTAGAGAAGCCCGGGTTTTGCCAAGGAGGAATGTGAGGGGAAGGATGACAGGCCAGGAGGGGACTCTGAGCTCCGTGGTGTGATCTGTGGCTCCCCCTGAAGGAGAAGCAGCGGTGCAGCACAGAGGTCAGGAGCACAGGCCATGAAGGAGGCTGGACTCCAATCCCAGCTCCTCCACTTACATCTTGTGATGCTAGGTAAGTCACTTATCTCTCTGAATCTGTTTTCCTATCCATAAAATGGAAATAGCAAAACCTGCCTCATACGGTTGTCGTGAAGACTGAATGGGAAACATACATAATGCCCTTCACATATGACCTGACCGTACACTGTCTGACTCGCTGGCTTTGGACATGTCATCAGGGGGGATCAGCTGGAGGAGGACATCATGGTTGGTGAAGCAGAGGGCCAACAAGGGCAGGGGAGACCCTAAGTGAGAGAGACTGGCATAACAGCCGCAGTGATGAATTTGAATATGCCAGCAATTGTGAGGATGACGCAGGACTGGGCAACACTTGCTCTGTTGGACAGAAGGTTACGGAGTCAGAGTTGACTCAATGGCAGCTGACAACAACAGCACTGCCCGAGAAATAGTAAATGTTCAATAAATAGCAGTGAGGAAGGTGAGGTCGGGTGGAAAGTGTGGGTTAAGAGAGGAAAAAAAGAAAAAAACTTTCACGAAGTCACGTCCCCATTCCTGCACCCTCATACTATCTCACAATAAACCAAAAAACCAAAGCCGATGCTGTCAAGTCGATTCTGAATCATAGTGACCACAGAGGCGGAGGAGAACTGCCCCATAGGGTTTCCAAGGTGTGTGTGGTGGATTCGAGCTCCAGACTTTTCATTAGCAGCCGAACTCTTAATCACTATACCACCAGGGTCTCCAATGGATAAGTATGACTGCTGCTCTCACCAGCTCTGTCCAGCCACTTCCAAAAGTTAGGTTTCATTTTCTGGAGTCAACAGGGCTCCCATGTCCTGGATTTTGATACCCAAGCTAGAAGAAAATTAAATGGAAGGCCAGCTCTTTTCTACCCTTCCTTCGATAGCAAATCACTTCTCCAGGACCTTGAGATCTGTCACAGGACTTTTTTGTTGTTGTTGTTAAACAGCAGATTACTGTCCTAATTACACTTTGCTCGAGCTTATCCTGAAATGAGTTTGTCTCCCCTGAGGACACTCCAAATGACAAGGGGAGGCAGCGCTCGGGATGTGGGCTGAGTGGGTGGGTGGCTTGGGGCGGCAGAGGCACCAACTGAAGTTTAAATCTGCCTAGGACCATTCTCACCCAGGGAAGCCAGGGGTGGAGACAGGAAAATATTCACGAGAGTCACCACCCAAATGAAGGAGACCTGAGTATTGCTGTCCCTAAAGCAATGGGAATTGGCTTCTCTTCTGCTGAATGACCCATGTGAAGGAATGGGGGGTGCCCTGAGAACAGGCCAGGGCCTGGAGGAGGAGCAACAGCCAGCTCTCCACAGGGCCCTGACCCCGTATCACTGAATGCACGCTGCTGTCACCTGGTCACCCAAATTTGCCAGGCTTGGCTGAAGGGGCCTCAAAGACCATCTGGCTGAGGCAACCTCAATCCCCACAGTACACAGATGCCAGGACCCCGCCCAAACCGAAAACCAGTTGTCATGGAGTTGATTCTAACTCATGGTAACCGTATATGTTGCAGAGTAGAATTTCACTTCATAGGGTTTTAAAGGCTGTGACCTTTCAGAAGCAGATTGCCAGGACTTCCTTCCACGATGCCTCTGGGTGGGTCTGAACCACCAACCTTTCAGTTAGTGCCAAAATCCAAACCCACCGCTGTCGAATCGACTCTGACACATGTTGACCCCATGGATACACAGTAGAACTGCTCCACAAGGTTTTTCTGGCTGTAATCTTCATGAAAGCAGATTGCTAGCCCTTTCTTCTGTGGTGCTGCTCATTGAGCTTAAACCACCAACCTTTTGGTTAGTAGTTGTCATGGATTGAATTGTGCCCCCACAAAATGTCTGTCAACGTGGCTAGGTCATGATTCCCAGTATTGTATGATTGTGTGTTGTAAATCCTATCACTATGATGTAATAAGATGGATTAGCAGCAGTTATAGTGATGAGGTCTACAAGATTAGATAGTGTCTTAAGCCAATCTCTTCTGCGATATAAAAGAGAGAAGCAAGCAGAGAGACATGGGAATCTCATACCACCAAGAGAGCAGAGCGTGTCCTTTGGACCTGAGTTTCCTGCGCAGAGAGGCTCCTAGACCAAGGAAAGATTGACGACAAGGACCTTCCTCCGGAACCAACAGAGAAAGCCTTCCCCTGGAGCTGACGCCCTGAATTTGGACGTGTAGCCATGAGATCGTGAGAGAATAAATTTATCTTTGTTAAAGCCATCCACTTGTGGTATTTCTGTTACAGCAGCACAAGATGACTAAGACAGAAGTCAAGCACTCAACTGTTTGTGCTACCCAAGGATTCTTAGATCTCTCCTGCGACCTACTGAATCAGAATCTCTGGAGATGGAGCTGCTCAGGTAGTTCTCATGTACAGCAGGGCTTGGGATCAACTTAACTCTTCATTTACAGCGGTGAAGACTGACGGCCAGAGAGAAGAGACTTGCCCAGGGCCACAGCTATCAGCATACCCCAGATGGAATTCAAGGCTCCCAATTCCCTAGTCTAGACCCCTGCCTTTAATGTACTCCAAACCTGTTACCACTGAGTCAATTCTGACTCATAGCGACCCTACAGGACAGAGTAGAACTACCCCATAGGGTTTCCAAGGAGCGGCTGGTGGATTCGAACTGTCTACCTTTTGGTTAGCAGCCGAGCTCTTAACTACTACACTACCAGGGCTCTGCTTAATGTACTCAGGGAATGAAAAATTAATTACCTTTAGACTAACAAAAAAAAACCAAACCCATCACCGTCGAGTCAATTCTGACTCATAACGACCCTATAGGAAGAGTAGAACTGCCTCATAGGGTTTCCAAGGAGTGGCTGGTGGATTCAAACTGCCATTTTGGTTAGCAGCCGAGCTCTTAACCACTGCGCCACCAAGGCTCCACCTTTAGACTAAGTAAGACAAAATGAAGAATGTGAATCTGTCTGTAGGCCAATCAATTCAGAGCCAATGAGAAATGATATTTTGATTATCATACTATTGTTTTTCCTCTTGCAGAATGGGGTCAAGGGGACTTTGGACAGAGATCAGGACACAGACATAAATTCCAGGCTCAGCTCTGTCCCAGGGTAACCTAATAAATCTCTTCCCTTCTCAGAGCCTTGGATTACCATCTGTGGAAACAGATCAACAGCTGCTTTGCCTCCATCAGGAAGGCCAACGGGATGGAGAAGCACATGCCTGTGGAGGCTCTGGGCTGCTGGCTTAAAGGGGTTGGACAAATAACAGCTGTTTTTGTCCAACAAGCCCCTCCATAACTCAGCCCCTCCCTAACCATTGACTGAGCATCTCTGAGCTTTGCAGCTCAGTGCCAGGAACTTCTTGAGCAACCAAATGAAAGCACAGGTCTTGCTCCTCAGGGAGGTTGGAGACACAAACAGTAACAACTGAAACCAGCAGAGAAACAGAGCACCAACAGGTGAGGAGGAGTGGTCATCTGGTACTCCCCCTGGGCCCAGAAGGTATGTGGAGGTGCCTTCCTTCTGGCTCACGTACCTGCCAGGGAGAGAGCTGCAGCAAGAGCCTACTGTCCTTTTAGGGCTTAAAAAAAACAGTTGCCATCAAATCGCTTCCAACTCATGGCGACTCCCTGTGTGTAAACTATGCTCCACAGGGTTTTCAATGGCTGATTTTTCAGAAGTAGATGGCCAAGCCTTTTTTCCAAGGCATCTCCGGATGGACTTGACCCACCAACTTTTTGGTTATCAGGCAAGAATTTAATCATTTGCACCACCCAGGGATATCTCTCAAGGCTTAGCTGGGAGGAAACAGAGGCTTAGATTCTGAGCTGCCTCTAAATCCCACCTAGCCCTTTCTGGCAGCTCCTCCCCAGGAATCCACGGAGAAGTGCTCCCTTTGATAACCTGTATTCGTGACTTTCTTTCTGCTCTGGCTCAAGTGATCATTTTCCAGAACGCACCCCAGTCCTTTATTCCACTGCCATTTATACTGAGGCAGTGGCACCTCACAGCAACTCCTAAACCTGGCCTGGATCTGCATGCCCTACAAAACTTTAGGAAAGGTACAGAAACCCAGGTTCCACCCCAGATCTACTGA